AGGGTTTAGGGTTTAGGGGTTTAGGGTTTAAATCAGACCTCAAGCGGCGATAGAGTGGGTCGAGAAGTCTCCAAGGTCACCAAGCCGCAAATGCAAACCCTTGAACCCGGTCTCTAAACTCTGAAGCCCTACGACTCTGCACAACTCTCTAGGGCCAGAGCTCCGCAACCCTTGCTCGGGAACTCTAAGCGACTCTAAGCCAGTCATCCAAGGCGCTGCAGGCACGGTACTAGCCTTCAGGGAACAGCTCTAGGAGAGGGTTTAGTTCAGCATTTGGACTTAGGTTGCGAGGGCTAAGCCCTACACCCAATGCACATTAAACTGCCTAAACCCAGAACCCTTACGATGTTCTCTAAAACTTTGAGACTCCGCGAGGTTGACTTATTCCCTTCTACTTGTGGGGCTTAGGGTTTTGGGGTTTTGGGGCTTTTGGTGCTTTTGGGGCTTTTGGTGCCTCTGTGGTTTTGGGGTTGGGGGTGTTGAGGTCGAGGGCTCCTCTGCGCTTCTGCCTGGTGCTCAGAGTTCTGGGGTTTTGGGGCTTTCCTAAGCCCCCCAAAACTAGGTAAAATAATGGCCCAATACCCGTAAAAGGCTATCATTCTACATACTTTTGGGGTCCAGGTGTGGGTATAACGGTATGATGCAGTATGGCTTTCAAATTGCAAACGCGAAGACTGGCTTGGCTCAGCAGCCATGTGCGAACTGCTGAACGACATCCAGAAAGCCCACTGAAACCGTAAACCCCGAACGCAAAAACCCTAAACCCTGATTCAAGCCCCACCTGCAGCGGGGAACATGGTACAAAGAAGCCATGCAGAAGATTCCATGAAACCTTGAGCTTGCTCAGCTCTCTGTTTGGGTTGAGTTTCGGGCTTTGTGCTTTGAGTTCAATTAAACTCAACTTGGGGCTTAAGATTTATGCTTTGGGCTTGCTAAGGTGCCCAGTGTTTGCAGTTCACGGACAGCAGATTGAGATCAGAAAGTTTGTCGGCGAGCTGGTATCTTGTTCAGGCTTGGCCGCTTGAGGATTTAGGATGTAAGCAGGCTTGTGCCAGATATGTTTGGCATTTTCATTGTTTCTGCAAGCACCGTTGAGGCCTACGCCTTAAACCCGGTCTTCACAGTCTTGTGAATGTCGATGTCGTCAAAACCCTAGACCCTCAGCCAGGAACCCACAAGTTACCAAACTCTCAGCCCACAATGTCTCAAGCCCCTTTTTGGAGCCCCTTAGGAGCCGGTTTGCTGCGGGAGAGTCCTGAAAATCCATGATTCAAGCCCTTTACCAGATTGCCAGGCCCGCTTAACAAAACAGATAGGGGTCTGAATAAATGGTGATAGCACCCCTTGTATTGTTCCGGAACTTTTCCACAATAGGTCCGCCGAACCCCATAGTATCTTCAACTCCCAACCCGAAAGAAGAAAACCTTAGACCCCCTTTAATTCAGCCGGCTTGCTTGGAAACTGCCCACCACCCAAAACACTGAACCTTAAGCCAAGCCCTAAAACCCAAACCCCTTCACCCTCATAGAACTCTTATGCATAGCCTCCTTACAAGACCCTGATAAGGGAATGTTACTAAGGCCCATTTAACGCCCTAAACCCGAAGCCGAGTTGCTTCCTGGGAAGGTTCAGGTTCTCGAAATGGCCTTCACTGAACTTGGAACTCTTGCAAAACTTGAATCGTGAGCTGGCTTTTAGGAACTATAGGACCAAAACGTAAAACACACAAACAAAAAACAACGATTTCTAAGTATGCCCGAAGTGACAGAGGTGCACCGCACAGGCGCTGGTCTCTATGGCCGCTTGCACGAAGCTCTGGCAAGGGTCAAAGCCTGGTCTGGGGCGGTTCTCTTTAAAGGAAATCTAGGTGGGGCTTTTAAAGCCTTTGAATAATATTAGTAAATAAGATCCTCTTAAGCCCAATAAGAGAAAATATAAGATGTCCCAAAGTCCTACCTAGAAATCTTAAAGGAGCTTACGGGAACGCTCAAAGGATCTCTTGGGAAAAAAAGGCTTGGAGGGTTCCTGCGCATGTTTCATTTCAGGGTTCTTCCCAAGGGGTCGTTTCGGGCTTCTTTTCTGGGTTCTTTTTAAGGCTGCTGGTCTAGGGTTTACAGGGTTCAGTTTAGGATTCACGAGTTTCACATTGTGGGGTCTAGAAAACTGTCAACAGGTGTCTGAACCACTAGTAAAGATGTCTCCTTGCTGCCCATATCTAACTTTACGGATGGCCCGGTCGACATTATGTATGAAGGTCCATATATTACGGTTGAGGGTTCGGGTATTGGCCGCAAGGCTGCGCACTTCTGCACTTTCAGTCCTCCTGGGGATCAAGCTCGACAAGCGGTCTCTTAGGCGCTGCTTTCTTGTGTTTTTTGATCGCTAAAACATGCAATGCAAATCTTAACCTTAACCGTTGAGCATGTATTTTAGCAGCAGCAAATGTCTGGATTGTAATCCTAATGCCCTCAATTGTGCCTGTATATAAGCATCGCTTCAGGACCACATTGGCAAATTTCGCAAAGTGCCACTTCGGAATTCCTAGTCTTATATCTTCGGTAACCTAAGCTTGCGTCCTAATCCCGATACCCTCTCACTCACTCCCGCGATGCCCAAGAAACAAGACTGAGCCTCATGCTAGTATTAACTTAGCAGAATCCAACTAACCAATAATAAACTAAGCCCTCTAAGGGAATCCTTGTGAAATCCTGAAACGTCACCGTAAATCCAAAGCCCTAAGCCCAGGAACCAGTGGGGTACTCTTGAACCCAGAGTCGAAGTTACTGAAATAAGGAAACTCTCCATGGTGGTAGACTAAGATTCAGTTCCTTAACAATAATAACCCAGTAGCCAAGATTCGGAAGGGTCGGTAAACGCCTAGCCAAGGTACCCTCGCATGCGCAGCCCATGCGCCTAAACGACGCCAGATCCCTTCCCGAGCCACAGCCTTGCGTTGCACAACAAATCTTGTTGTCTGCATTACTGTTTTTAACTTTCGGTTTTCCCACGTTCGGTTTTATGCATCAGGATTTCATCCGCCTAGAGTCTTTGCGCAATGGATGTAGGATTCAAACCTTCCCTAAGCTTGCATCAAAGACTCGATCGGCCTTGTGGGGAAGTCTCGTGTTCGCGTCAGGTTTCCTATTTTTGAACACTTGTTCGTCCTGAAGCGGAGCATTCGCCCAACATCTGCACTAAAACCTTAACCCTCAGCCCTTGTGCAAGCCCAGACCCCGAAACCCTAAAGTTCTAGGGTTTAGGGTTGGGGTTTTGGGCCTAGGGTTTGGGCTCCATATGGCAACCCCTGTAAAGCACAGGCTAGGATTCGGGGCACGTCGTAGACCCTCCCAACTGCACACCGTATCGAAACAGACACACAGACCTCGCCCCACTGCACTCAGTACTGCTGATGGACAAAATCCTGCATGACCTTAAGGACTCTAAACTATGGGAACTATGGTATATTCCTTATAATGGGTAATGCAGGATTTTGTCCATCAACAGTACCTCTCACCGGGCCGCCTGCATCCAGCAGTCGTAAGCTGGAAGGCGCAGAGTGTGGGAAGGAGTCGTGGACCGCTTGCCTCATATGGCTTCGGGGTTCGTTTGGAAGTAAGGTTTGGGGGGGATGGGCTTGCTGGACTTGTGCCACCCCAACATCGGTACAACCTAGCACTTCATGCAAGCGTGCTAGTAACTTAGTAATTCCACCATGGCCATGCTCATAAGCATAATCGTAAAGATGACCGTCGGTGACAGCAACAATCACAATCATCATCGTGATAGCCAACAGTAAGCCAACAGTAGCAATATGTGTGTAGTGATGGCTGAACCATGCTGAAGTGGTGATGTCCAGATGCGACGACCATGGTGCCGAAGATTGCAATGACATGGCAATGATATTAAGCTTGTTCCTCATGCTCCTTTGGTCATGATGACGGGCCGAATGCTCGTGATGATGCCGATGTTGCTAACCCCGATGGATCTGCTACCGGTCAGTGCAAGGAGTGCCTTCTGAGGCAGGCAGTGCCACTGGAGGAATAAGACCAGGGAAAAACTTACCGGTAACGGAGAAACCTCAGGAGGTCGAGAAGGAGCAAGAGTAGGACGGGGAAAAGGTGAAGAACATGCCCACAAGGTTGACAACGGAGCTGTCCTGTATTCTGGTATTGAAGCACGTGCGAGTATCACACAAACGGCCGTGTACTACAGGTGTGGCCACATGTGGCTTTTTGTCGGGCATGCCGAACACTCGTGAGGCAGGGATGCGGCAGGCACGGTTGCCCGCGACAGCCCGCTGTACAAAGCCGGTGTCTCAACATAGAGGAGGTGCAGGGTCTGGGATGCTCCGAGGTGCGAGTTCTCGTTACAGTAGGCATCTGAAGCCTGAAACTTTCGCAAACGTCCGAGGCCTTTCTACACCTGAAAGGAAAGGCTTCTGTCAATTCTAGGGTTGAAGCTCCGTCGGACACCCCAGACCGGTTGGCCAAAGTTGAGTTGCAAAACGTATGACCACAAACATCCCGACAAGCACCGGGCACGGTTGCCCAGCACCACCTTTAAAGCATCCGTCTGCGATCGAAGGCCAGAACAAGGGACTTTGAGGCGATTTAAGGTTTAGGTAATAATTCATGTAAGGGCCTTTAGACTTGAAATCGGGTTTGGGGTATACTATTGTATACTTTTCTGAGGAGCCTGTAGGAGCAGCAACACGACTTGTTCAGGTCGTTATGTCTTGCACGTGCTCAAACAGTTCCTGTTGGCCTCCTGCGGCGAGTGCACTCGTAGTCAGAAGAGGTGGCGCCATGCCGAGATTTCAGGGTCTCGAAGTGTAAAAATCATCTACCGAGATCTTGTGATGGGCAAGTCTACGCGACATTCGCGTCACCGTTAGCACTCCAGCGTTGCTAGCAGGTGTCATGATGGTGGTGTTGCTACATTGCAAGCTTTTCCGTTCGTTGACGCTACCAGTGCTATCCGTTATACTATCACACAATCAACTAGCTGAAATCCGAGCTCAACTCATAGCGCCGAGGATTGGTGCCTTTGCGTGAGTCACGTGTGGACTGGCTCACTTCATTGAGCCGCTTGAAGCGCCGGACCTTGCACAGGAAGGTCTTCTCGACTGCAAGCAACTCCTCCACCTGAATCCAGTCCTCGCCGCCCTCATGATGCGAGTTGTGCGGCCGATGGAAGGAAGCTGTTTTGACACATTCCACCGCAGCTTCGTTCACCTTGCACTTCAGCTTTGAAGGGAGCCGGCCTATGATCTCCTCGAGGGACGTCTTGAGGCTATCCATGATGATCACATGGGATGCCTTCAGCGATGCACCGTGCAACTCAAGCTCTTGAAGGACCTCGTGATACTGGTGAGGTCGAACAAAGATCTTAGCACCATGGGCAAGGACAACCGGACAGCCATGTTGCGCCATCTCCTCGCGGACGGCCTGCAGCTCGGGGCCATGGAGGAGAGCTTCAGTGAATTCCTTGGGAGTGCGCTTGAAGGGCAACATCCAAACCGCCTCATGCTGCTCCTCGTTCCCAGCGTCCTCCTCGAAGCACGGCGGGGAAAGGATCCGATCCACTACCCTATCTGCCCAATCGTGCTCTTCCTGCTCTCGAAGCAGCTCCGGGTCACGAAACGCCGGGGGCTCATCGTGTTCCACTACCTCTTCGAACTGCTGGTCGGCATCGTTCCGGAGTGGCTGTGCATCTTCCGTGGGGACTGACGGCAAACTTTGCGGGCAAGTGTCTGGGAGGATCTGGTGCAGCAAGCCTGACACATCTCTGGCATAGACAGCAAGTCGAACAGCACAGCGAAGTTGCACGATGCAAACAGCCTGCCCGTCCCAATATTCCTCGTCCCCATCGTCCAATTCCTCCAAATCCATACGCCGCAGGACCTCGCACGCAAAGATCATTTGAGAGATCCGCTCTATCGGCAAGTCGCGGCTTTGCCGCAAGAGGCTGGATATCTCCAAAAGCAATGCCTTTGTCAAGCGACTGTTGGTCAAAGAACCTTCCAGATCCTCGATACATCCTATCACCCATGACATTTCTTCGTAGATTCTCGTCTCGTCACACAAGAACTGTCTCACCAAGTTTGCCATGGCTTGGCTCGGCTTGCGGCAAGCTCCCCGCTCCACACAGACGGTGCGCTGTAAAATGGCCGCGAGGCGTGATGATGCCCAAACACCACGAGTTCAGTGGTAGTGGTAGTGGTAGGAGTAGGGGTAGGGGTGTAGTAGTAGTGGTAGTGGTAGTGGTCGTGGTGGCGGGAGTGGTAGTGGTACGGGTAGTGGTAGTGGTAGGGGTAGTGGTCGTGACAGTGGTTGTGGTTGTGTTAGTAGTGGTAGGAGGAGAAGGAGGAGTAGCAACAGTAGTAGTAATAATAGTTTCGGTGCCCTGGTGAACCTCAGAACTTGGGAGACCGGAGACCAGACAAACCGCCACGTCCCGAAGCGGTGAGGATTACCAACACCCCCTAGCAAAAGGCACGGCGCATTCCTTAAATCGCTTTCGGTGCAGAGCTGAAGGAACATAAGCCGGGCTGCAAGAAGAGGTCTCGTGCATGTCTGGCTGTCGACTGCCTTTCCGCCATGTCGGAGAAGGCCTGGCTTTTGTCCGAGATTTCAAAAATTCCATTCTAAGGCCTCCTGCGGTAGCAACCAGACTTCTAGCGGCTCTAGCGGTTCCATTAGGCCTGACTTTCGGTGGTCGAGGGCTGCTGCAACTCCGAGACCCTAAAGACATGCAAAGGCTGCCGAAAGTCTCGAGCTGCAAGCTTTCAGATACCAGCCCTCAAATACCACAATTGAGGCCTGGGCGTTGGCCTGTGAATTGGTCAGACAAGTGAATAGGAGATATTTTGTATTTGCAGCTGTAGTGCTTGATCGCGAACAACGGCATGTTACGTGCTGTCAGAAGTCTAGTCTTGTTGAGACAGTGGAAAGTCCTGGCTTTCGCCACGTGGCTTGACGACGTTTCAAAACACTGCAGTGGAATTGCAAATGAACAGACGAGGGACATATCCGACTGTCTAACGACTCAATATGTCCTGAGTGGAATGTCGAGCTGTGTCCAACCTCTTGAAAACGAACTCTGTGATTTCGGTATCGCTCGTATGCTTGTCGTGATCATTGTCACTCTCAGCGTTGCTTTGCCTACCGCCTAGAAGGGTGCTTCGAGTAATCGTGTTGAGTCCAACGCAGAGTCGCAACGGCAAGCCCGGTGAATAGGAAACCTAAAGCTTAGAGCCGAGATTACGGAAAGCGCTTGGATACTGCCCGCCCCCATACAGTAACAGTCTATAATAAGGCTACTATTAAGGTCCTAATATATCCATATTATGAACATTTTCCAACTGTTACTGAGTGGGGGTAGTATCCAACTAAGTACCTAGATCCCAGCCATGTTTGCCACAGAACTTGAAGACCGGCAGAGTTTCGGGGTAGCCAAGCCTAGGTAGGCTAAGCATCTAGGGTTCCCCAACCGGTTCAGGGTTTTAGGGTTTAGGGACTAGGGTTTAGGGTTTGGGGTTTACAGTTTAGCAGCTCCGGATCGAGCAGGTTTAAAGTAGAGTTGTGTTTACGGTTTAGAAGTAACACCCACCCACCCTTAGAATCCCATAACATTAAGAACATACAAAGTTTTCTTCATTCTCTCAAATGAGTACCATTCATAGTTGACTTTCATTCACACTTACGTGATTCCATGATCCTATAGCCTTAAACTCTTTATAGCCTTAAATCCCAACTCAGAGCCTGGAGCCCTATGCCAGAATAAACCCTGAAATAAATGTGGTGTCCGAAAATTGCCTTAAACATTGAGTGGCACATGGGTCTGGGCCAGCTTAACACCGAAATTTGCCTTGAACAGTTAGTGTTATAGGGGTCTGGCCAGCTAAACCCCGAAAATTGCCTTAAACAGTTAGTGGTTGAAGGGTCTGGGCCAGCTAAACCCCAAAAATTGCCTGAAACAGTTATTGGTATAGGGGTCTGGCACCGGGATACGGGGGTCTGGCCAGCTAAACCACGAAAATTGCCTTAAGCAGTTATTGGTATAAAGGTCTGGCATGCGCGCGCGAGGGGCGGAAGTCCGGCCAGCTAAACCACGAAAATTGCCATAAACAGGAATTGACATTACAGTTTAAATTATCATATGATAAAGGGGTTTAGAGTTTAGGGTTTAGGGTCCCATTTCACCGAGAAGCCGGGACAGAGGCTGCATAGGCCTTTGCCGACTCCGTGACGTAGGCCGAGTTGGTGCTCTGCCCTGTCTCCGGCAGATTGCCTAAACCTTAAATTCCCCATAGGCCCCAAAGTAATTCCTTTTTTGGGATTACCTTATAGGACTTTATACATGAACCCCAAAACGGAACTACTTTGGGGCCTATGGGTAAAGCCATCATTGGAAGCCCCGACCTTTTTGGGCTCAAGGTTCTGGTTATGGTTTTGTGAACTCTTCTAATTTCCTTACTTGTCCAGTATCATGGGGAACTAAAGGTTAACCTTTGGGACTATATAGGGACTATAGTACCCCCAAAATGTCAAAGGTCATCTACTCTACTACTAAGTTTCTGTTCTGGATTATGGCTTGGGTCGTTAGGGGGGCTTTCGGGATGCAGGCTTTCAGTCTCTCCGGCCCAGCCTACGGAATAGGCCTTAGGGTTACAGAGGCCAAACGGAAAAGCGCACGAAGATGCAAGCCGGCCCTGGGGAAGTTGAAGAGCGTCGGAAATCACTGGCATGACAAACTGATAAAGAGGCCTGGGGATAACCATCCAACTTGACCCAGGGAGGCCGATTTAGCATAACTCCTCGTGGGTGGGTGCAGTCTAGATCCCAAAACCGACCCTACCCAAGACGAAGTTTATCCACTACGGGTTCTTGTACCTAAGAATCATAACTTCACCCAGCACCACTTGGGCCGCCGAACCTTTAAACCTTCATGGCGACTGGCCCATGGGTACAGACAAAGTCAAGGGGCTGTCAGAGTTTAGGGTTTAAGTTCCGAAGGGTTTGTGTTTACAGGTCCTGAGGCCTTGTGGCCTTGGGGCGATGGATAGTCTGCCGACTATCCCAAATCCACCTAATATAGCGAGCCGGGTTAGCAGTGCCAAAACTCTGAATCCTAAAGCTTTGAAGACACACGCCAAGCCCTACGTGCGAAATGCATGAAGTATTTCAAGACCACTACGCCGCAGTGCCGCAACAATCTAAACTCCGGTAGCCCTGAATAAAATCCCCAAATTCCGTAAGACCGCTCCGCCTGCAGACGGGCCGGCGGGGAGCCTCCCTGGTTGGATGACTCCCCAATTCCGGGCCACGAGGAGAGAGGACTCGTAACCGAAGATATCCACCTTGGGGGAGACCCAGACCTTCCAAAATCCCTTAAATAAGGAGTATACCTTAAACCATATTAAGGATCCTACTATAATTAAAGGGATATTCCTTGATTAAGGGATTTTGGAAGGTCTGGGGACTTCAGGTTCTCCACTTTAGGACTTTAGGTTCAGGGTTTAGGGTTTAGGGTTTGGGCTTTGGGGTTTAGGTTTTAGGGTTTGGGACTTTAAGCCATCAAAAGCCCTGGTTGGGGTTTCGTGTTCAGGGGTTGGGGTCCCGGCTGCATCCTGAACCCCCAGTCCCGAACCCTACATGCCCCAAGCTTAAAACGCCGAAGCCCAAACACCAAAGCTCCTAACCTCCAGCCTCAAACCCCACACCCTCAAGCCCTACGTCATAAACCGTGACGCTGAATCTAAACCACAACCTGGCGCTTCCAAGGACGGGAGCTACAAGAAAATGAAAGGAGGAGTTTAACAGGGCTGATGGTCTTAGGGGTGGGTTTTCATGCGACCTCGAACAGGCTGTATCGACTGTGAGCTGGAGCAGTTACAAGGGTTGTAACAAGGACTGTCCGTACACGCTGTTGATAGGGCTTTGGGGCTCAGGGCCCGGGGTGGAGGGTTTGTGAATTGAAAACAAAACTAGGATACCCAGTAACCTAAGAATACAAAAGGCCTCTGTTTTTGGTATTGGGTAACTTTATAAGGAACCTAGGACTACAAAAAGGGAATAAGGGTACTACTGGGCATCCTAGAAAACGAGGGGTCTTTCAAATCTGCATGCAGGTCAGCTACAGCTGCAAATAGCCATGATATTGTATTAAGTCAGTCCAGGTACATACTTATAACCCTATACTTAGACTGGTTGATATTCATGAACCTCCAAGCGAGTCGCTACTGTACAACAACTAAAACGGAAGAGAGAGAGAGAGTGTATTCGAGCCCTACGGTGACCTGTATTTATAGATCTAAAATAACCCTCCAACTTCCGGCTGAACCCTATGAACTCTTGTAGCATTTAAGCCCTAAAGTCTGAACCCTAACATCCAAAAGAATCCGACCCCGTAAACCCAAGATAGATCTCCAGAAAGCCCCTCTTCAAATCCAACTGGACTCGTATGAAAGCCTACAGAACCCCCGAGCCCCTGTGTGCGACCCACTCAGAGGATCATGGGACTTAGTAAGTAGGTTATAATTGGGGGTTATAAGTCCCCTAAGTGGGGTTATCCTAATTATAACCTACTTATAACCTTACTTACTAAGTCCCATGAGCCTTTAAGTAAAACCAATCCCAGTGGCGCTTGTCGGCGAAGCCACGACATGGAAACCGGCAGACGTCAGAAACTCGGTAAGCTCCTGCTAAGGCCAAGCAAGTGCTTTCTTTTTGTATTGCGTTATTCGCTTCTCTAGGGTAGTGTTGGACTCGTATGGCTCTTCATCACTTAAAGAGTACCTTTCAATTAAATCACCACAGGGATCCTGCAAAATCTACATGTTGGCACCTGGGTTTCTGGATTTCACCTGCTTAAAGCAGGCCTCAGCAAGGTGGAGCCGGAGCTTGCGCTTGGCAGAGAACTGCAGTCTCTCCGGGGTTGCATTCTCAACTTTTCGGTTTCAGATCCTTGGGCGAAGACATAGCATTGCAGAACTGCTTGCTCCTTAACAGGTTGCTAAAAGTGAAATCTGGAGAGCCTTTGCTATCACAGCCGCAGCCCAAAGCGCAAAAACCCGGGTGCACAGTTTGAATTTGAACCGCGTCGCTTTTCGACATACTGCCAAAATCCTGAAGCCCAAATCCGCGACTTAAGCCCTGAACGCCGTAGTCCAACACTGTGGGACCCAGAACCCCGAAACCATATACAACGATCACAGATGCCTTGCAGGAACCCTTCAGCCGTAAATCCTTGAGCCTTAAACCCCTCGACCCTAAAAGGGTACTGCTTCTAGATTTTGATGCCTCGGCAGGCATGTTGTTGACCCAGCAGCCATCCGGGTGCAGAAGATCTTGCCTTTGAGAGGCCGGCTTGCTTAAGGATTCCACTCTACAAGGGTTCTGTCGGGGTTCCAATAAAGCCTTTGGGAGATCTTTGCTCGAAAAAATGCTGCGGGTCTGGGTTTTAAAGGTATGTCTGTATGTGTGTGTATATATATATATATATATCGGGGGGTTGACCATATATATATATATACACACACAGATACGTACAGTATATAGGTTGTAGAGTGCAGAATCTAGAGCCCAGGGCTTCGGCTGCATTGGGACTTTATGGATCTAATGATCCTTGAAACTTGTTTTTCGCTATTTCGGGTCCCAGCCATGCCATAGCATCGAAAAACACCCAAGAGTGTTCGGGCCCTCTTGGGGCAGACCCCAAAAGGTCTAAACCTCTATCAACAATCGGATCTAGCCCTGAGGGCAGGAGAAGCAGCTTGCATGTCGGCTTGCTTTCGAGAGGATTCCAACACCCTTGGGACCCTAGCAACCCAGAGACTCCAATATCCCTTAATTAAGGAATATTCCTTAAATCATATTAGGGATCCTATTATAGTTTAAGGAATATTCCTTAGTTAAGGGATATTGGAGTCTCTGGGAACTAAGACTGCGAAGACCCCAGGAGTGCCAGGGAAGCTCCCAAGCAAATTGCCCCTGGATGGTTCAAGTCCGCCCTAAATCCATTCCCTAAGCCCCGGGTTTCTTGGATTTCAGGCTTCCAAGGCCGCCGAAAGGTGGGGAAACCCCACAGAAGCACCAAAACCGACGATTTTGCAGTACCCGCTCCTTTTCCAAACGGCAAGCCTAAACCTTGAACCCTCTAAGCCTCTAAGCCCAAAATATCAGAAACCTGCAGTTTTCCTGCCTATTCGAATCTATGGGGCCTCAAGCATTCCCGGCTACCATAAGACGGATGTATGGTGAATAATATGGCTTCCCTACTATGGTAACTTAGGCTGGGATCCTCAGCAAGAACCCAGTGAGGCCCGCGGCCCTTGACCCGAGTGGGCTTTGGAGACAAGTCGCTGCCCTGGAGGCATCGTGACCAAAAGAACACCTATCAGCGGGGCTCTAAGGTGTAGGGTTTCAGAAATGAGGACCTTGATGGTTGGAATAGGTCTTTTAGGGACATTAAGATTTAAGTCTAAGTGCAGCTATAAATAGTCATAAGGGAAACCAAAGCACCTACTCGACTTCTACAATTCCGGAGTAGGTTTCTTAGCATGAGTTGCAGGATTGGAATTTTCGATGGGGTTTGTAAAGCTCTGCGGGTGTTGCTATAGGGTCGATTTCTGCGGCAGGGATGTCTGGACGCGACACTGGTCTTGGACATTTCAAAGGTTTTGGGGGTTTCAAGTGCAGGGTGTAGGGCTTGGGATTCCGCAATTGATTGAGGGCTGTAAGTTCCTACACCGTAGACTCCCCCTCATTTGACGGTACAACATGCCCGAAAGCCGCCATACCCCGCGTATTCACGTCAAAAGCACATGCAGAACTAAACCAGCCTCAACCTTCACCACAAGGCCCGGAACCCTAACCAGCAAGTGCTTCGAAGGCTGCATTCTTCAGCAAATCCCTGAAAGCCCATATTGCCAAACCCTGCAAGCTTGAAAAGTACATCCGAAACACCGAAATGGGGAAGGCACCATCCTTCTCCCGAAACTCCACAGCCTCAGCTTTCAAACCCTAAGCCTGAATTTCTTAAAACCTGAAAAACTGCAGTTCTAGAATGCTAAGCCCATTTAATCAACAATTCTGCAAACCCACCGCTTCCTTCACCAGAAGTCCCCACAAAGTATGGTAGGAGCCGTAAAAGATCTAAACCCTGAACCCAGCATAAAATCCCCAAAACCTGAGCGGGGCACCATCCTTCACCAAATGCTCGCTTAGCTTCAGCAATGCCGCTGCCAAGCGTACTCGGGGAACCTCCGATCCGTAGCAGCGACAAGTCTTCAGCTTGATGAGCTGGGTTCAACCGTTCGACAAGCTTTCCTAGTGATTTTTAATCATTTCTCGGGCTGTATTCAATTTGGTGTCTGAGTTTGGGCTGAATTTGCGTCTTTTCCTGGAGGATTTCCAAGAGAGGTATTTATAGGTGGAGGGTGAAGAGGCTGGAAAGAGTTCACGGCTTGGTGGCTAAGGGCTCAGGATGTTGGATTTGAGGTTTAGGGTTGGAGTTTAAGGTCTACAGCTTTGGTTTTTGAAAATTGGTTTCCACCCGAAAGCTGTAGAAGCTGAAGATCTGAATACCTAGTTTCATTATTGCCTCCTCAATCGAAACAGACCCCTTCTTCCAATACAGACGCCTTCGTAGCTGAAACAAGGTTTTGGGGGATACTGCGCGGAGTATAAATCCAGAACCCTAGGTAGTGATTTAGGCTACTTCTATATCCACCAAACCCTAAATCGCAGAACTACGGGAAGCCCCAAAACCCACAACCGCTATGGATAGCCCTGAACCCTAAATCCCAAAACTCTTGCGAAACCCTGAACCCAAACGCCCGAAACCCGATGTAAAATCCAGAACCTGAGACCGAGGGGCGTGGTAAAGCGAGGCCAAACAGAAGGCACCTCAGGGTACGGACGAAGGCTGCAGCCACAAGTCCATGTTAATTTAGGCTTTGTGGTTCAGAGTTTATGACTCGAGGGCTTATGGCTCTGGGTGCAGGATTTAGGGTCTAAGTTTACGGTTTAGGTTTTTGAATTTAGGGTTGAATGAGGTTTAGGGCTCGAAAACCTACAGTCATCAATCATTCATCTTAATCCCGCCGCACCCTTTATGAAACCCCAACCAGATTTCAGTAACCGCTTTTCCCTGCTTTCTGCAGCTTTAATCAGCAGCTATGGGTATGGGTACTACCGGTTGCAGAACCGAAACCTAAGAGCCTTGTCTGCAGAATCCTTGCAAATCCCCTTAAAGGATCCCTTAAAGGAAGCTCTCCAGGACTATAGCCCTCCACCCCTAAGCTGGAAATCCTAAAAGCCTGATTCAGCATTGGAGGTTCCATCATGGTTCCTTGTAAGGGGATCGAAATAGCAGAAGCCCAACATCATCAGCATCAGCCGGCCTCTGTGTACACCTGGTCCTACAGAGACCATCAGCATCAGCGCAGGAGCCTCGCATCATCAGCATCAGTCGGCCTCTGTGCACACCTGGTCCTACAAAGACCATCAGCATCAGCGCAGGAGCCTCGCATCATCAGCATCAGTCGGCCTCTGTGCACACCTGGTCCTACAAAGACCATCAGCATCAGCGCAGGAGCCTCGCATCATCAGCATCAGTCGGCCTCTGTGTACACCTGGTCCTACAAAGACCATCAGCATCAGCGCAGGAGCCTCGCATCATCAGCATCAGCCGGCCTCTGTGTACACCTGGTCCTACAGAGACCATCAGCATCAGCGCAGGAGCCTCGCATCATCAGCATCAGTCGGCCTCTGTGTACACCTGGTCCTACAAAGACCATCAGCATCAGCGCAGGAGCCTCGCATCATCAGCATCAGCCGGCCTCTGTGTACACCTGGTCCTACAGAGACCATCAGCATCAGCGCAGGAGCCTCGCATCATCAGCATCAGTCGGCCTCTGTGCACACCTGGTCCTACAAAGACCATCAGCATCAGCGCAGGAGCCTCGCATCATCAGCATCAGTCGGCCTCTGTGTACACCTGGTCCTACAAAGACCATCAGCATCAGCGCAGGAGCCTCGCATCATCAGCATCAGTCGGCCTCTGTGTACACCTGGTCCTACAAAGACCATCAGCATCAGCGCAGGAGCCTCGCATCATCAGCATCAGTCGGCCTCTTTGCACACCTGTTCTGGCAAAAGCCGCGCATCATCAGCATCAGCCGGCCTCTGTGCACACCTGGTCCGGCAAAGACAGTGCATCATCAGCATCAGCTGGTGTCCGTGTAAACCTGGTCCTGCAGAGGCTGCGCATGCATCAGCTGGCCGCCGTGTATAGATGTGTGGACCTGGTCTCGCAGGAGCCGCGCATCATCAGCTTTAGCCGGCCTCGGCGCACCTGGTCCGGCAGAGGCCACGCATTATCAGCATCAGCCGGCCTCTGTGTACGCCTGCTCCTACAGCATCGCACAGGCACCGCGCATCATCAGCATCAGTCGGCACCGGGTCTGGCAAAAGCCGCGCATCATCAGCATTAGCCGGCCTCTGTGCACGCCTGGTCCGCAAAGACAGTGCATCATCAGCATCAGCTGGTCTCCGTGTAAGCCGTTTACTACAGAAGCTGCGTATCATCTGCAGAAACGAAGCATCATCAGCACTGTACAGTTGGTCAAGCAGAAACTGCAAATCATCAGCATCTGCCGGCCTCTGTGCGGAGCTGGATTCACAAAAGCTGCACATCATCAGCATCATCCGCCGGACTGCGCATGAAACTGGTCCCTTAGAGGTCATGCATCATTGAAATCAGCCGGCCTCTGTATACACCTGGTCCGGCAGAGACCGCGTATGACCGCGTCATCAGCATCAGCAGGCTTCTGTGTGCACTTAGTCCTGCAGAACATCAAGTCTTTCAGAAACTTATATCGTCAGCAGCCGGCATTTGTGCGGTTCCCACAGAAGCTCTCCAATATCAGCATCAGCTGGCCTACGCGTACACCTATTCCCGCAGAAACCGAACATCATCAGCATCAGACAGCACTGTGTACTCCTGGTCCTGCAGAAGCCTCGCATCATGAGCATCAGCCGGCTTCTGTGTACACCTGGCAAAAAAAGACCGTGCATCATCAGCATGAGCCGGCCTCTTTGTACACCAGGTCCCGCAAAGACTGAGCATCACCGCGCATCATCAGCATCAGCTATCGCAGGAGGCGCACATCATCAGCATCAGTCGGCCTCGGTGTACACCTGGTCCGGCAAAAGCCGCGCATCATCAGCATCAGCCGGCCTCTGTGCACACCTGGTCCGGGAGAGACCGTGCATCATCAGCATCAGCTCATGCAGGAGTCGCGCATCATCAGCATCAGTCCTCCTCGGTGTGCAGCTGGTCCGGCAAAAGCCGCGCATCATCAGCATCAGCCGGAACCTGTGCACACCTGATCTGGCAAAGGCCGCGCGTCATGAGCATCATCTGGTCTGCGTGTAAGCCGTTTCTCTCAGAAGCTGTGCATCATGAGCATGAGCCGGACTCTGTGTAAACCCAGTCCCGCAGAGGCTGCGCATGCATCAGCACGGTGCATCACCAGCATCACCTGGCGTATGCTGGCGTAAGCCTGGTCCCGCAGAGGCTGCGCATGAGCATCAGCTGGCCTCCGTGTAAACATGTGTAGACCTGGTCCCGCAGGAGCCGCGCATCATCAGCTTTAGACGGCCGGTCCAGCAGAGGCCACGCATCATGAGCATCGGCCCGCCTCTGTGTACTCCTAGTCTGGCAAAAACGCTGCATCATCAGCGTCAGCCAGCCTTTGTACAATCCTGGTCAAGCAGAAGCCGCGAATCATCAGCATCTGTGCGGAGCTGGACTCACAAAATCTGCACATCATCGGCATCAGCGAAATCGGGCATCATCTGCATCAGCTGGCCTCACCGTGAAACTGGTCCCGCAGAAACCGCGCATCATGAGCATCAGCTGGCCCTCGCGTGAACCTCCTCCCGCAAAAGCTGGGCATCAGCCAGCCTCTGTATACACCTGATCCAGCAAAGACCGCGCATCATCAGCATCAGCAAGCTTCTGTGCAATTACACTTGGTCCTGCAGACTGAGCTGGTCCCGCAGAAGCTTCGCATCATCAGCGTCAGCTGGCCTCCGTGCACACCGATTCCCGCAGAAGCCGAGCATCATCAGCATCAGCCCGCCTCCGTGTAGGTCCTGGTCCCGCAGAAGCCTCGCATCATCAGCATCAGCCGGCTTCCGTGTACTCTGTGCACACCTGGTCCCGCAAAGACCGTGCATCATCAGCATCAGCCTGCGTCCGCGTTGCCTGGTCCCGCAGGAGCCGCGCATCATTAGCGTCAGCCGGTCTCGGTGTACACCTGGTCCAGCAAAAGGCCCCGCATCATGAGCATTAGCTGGCCTTCGTGTAAACCGTTTCTTACAGAAGCGCGCATCATCAGCATCAGCCGGCCTCGTGTACACCCGGTCCAGCAAAAACCGTGCATCATAAGCATCAGCTAGCCTCTGTGCATACCAGGTCCGGCAGAGACCGTGCATCATCAGCATCAGCCTGCGTCCGTGTGGCCTGGTCCCGCTTGAGCCGCGCATCATTAGCGTCAGCCGGCCTCGGTGTACACCTGGTCCAGCAAAGGCCCCGCATCATGAGCATTAGCTGGCCTTCGTGTAAACCGTTTCTTACAGAAGCGGGCATCATCAGCACCAGCCGGCCTCGTGTACCGGTCCAGGAACAACCGTGCATCATAAGCATTAGCTAGCCTCTGTGCATACCAGGTCCGGCAGAGACCGTGCATCATCAGCATAAGCTGGCGTTCGTGTAAGCCGCACATCATCAGCATCAGCCAGCTTTGACTCCCGCAGAAGCCGCGCATGGCATCAACCGGCCTCTATACGCACCTGGTCTGGCAGAGACCGCGCATCATCAGCATCAGCTGGCCTCCGTGTACGCCTGCTCCCGCAAAAGCCGCGCATAACAAGCATCAGTCGGCCCCTTTGTAAAGCTGTTCTCACAGAAGCTGCATCATCAGCAACAGCCGGTGTTCTGCAAAGCAGTTTGCACAAATGGTACCGCACATGTTTTCCATTATTTGGTCAGAAATTTTGCAAAGAAGCTGTGATGAGGCGCATGCGCAAGTTTCCGGCCAGCTCGAGTACGGGTGTTGGGGATGCATTGGTTCAAGACTCCGCGGCCATTTACGACAAATTGCATGAATTGCTCGAGCTTTCGGATCTTCAAACGGTTAAAACCAGAAGTGATTAAATCCGCAACTGGTGCGTGAGGGCATAAACCTCCTATTGCTGCCCTCAGTGTGGCGGTTGGTACAGTGCTATAAGGACGCAGGATTGCGAAGCAGCCCGAACAGACAAGGACTTGAGAACCATAACCAGACCTGCTTCAACATGCAAAGCAACTGCAAGCAATACTATAAACAGTATACTGTATATAGTATGTACCCTGTCCAAACTCAACCAAAAAACCCTAAATCTTTCAAACTTAAAACCCCAAACCCTAAACCCAAATCCTGCACCTGAAACCCCACACCCTAAACCCTAAACCCCCAAGCCCTAAAACCCTAAACCTTCATAGTACCCTTTACAGGAACCCTTAACCTAAAGGAACCCCCCAAAGGACTCCCCCTTAAAGAACCCTAAACCCCCAGACCGAAGAGCCCCTCTCAGCCCCGCGCCGTGGAAACGAGTCGGTAGGTTGATGGAGCCGAAGTTCGCCATGTGCACTTGCCGCCCACTTCCTCGACTTATCTAGGAGTTTCGGAAAATAGGGGTCCCGAATATAGTACCCAAAATAGTAGGATCCTTATTGTAAGGACCCAAAATTAGGTACACCCAATTTTCGGAAACTCCCATCTTGTCTTTGTTTCGGCGGTTGGTATAAAGGTGCCGAAGGATTGGAATAGGCTTTTGCGTATCATATACTATACTTACTCCGAGTCCTGTATACTCCAAAGCCGCCTAGGTTGGGGGCTTTGTTGAAATCTTTAAAGCTCAAACTAAGCTTAGCAGGTTCAGGGTTTTAGGGTTTAGGGTTTAGGGGTTGCTTCAAAGCTCACACTACCCATAGGCCCCAAAGCAGTTCCTTTTTGGGATTACCTTATAGGGTTCTATGTACGAACCCCCAAAAGGAACTACTTTGGGGCCTTAGGGAAAGCTTAGCAGGTTGCATCTATCCACATCGCGTGACGATACAGAACTCAGGATTCAGGGTCGAGGCCGCTCAAGGACTTAAAGGGAACTCCAGAAAGTTGGAATATGGTTTCAGGGTTTAGGGTTTAGGGTTTAGGGTTTAGATACCCTATAATTTACCATAAAGGGTCTAGGATAATCATATTCCAACTTTCTGGCTTTTTACCTTAAAGGATGAAACATCACATAGCAGCACGTACCAGCACCCACACCCCGATGCCAGCAGAAATTCAACCAACACCCCTAAACCTCCAACCCCGAAAGCCTAAAACGTGCAAAATCAAAGCCCTGCTTTGAGGTTGCTTTTGATTCCCAGACAGTCGTGCAGAAAGGAGACGGTTCAGCAGTCAAGGGGTTTTGGGGTAGAAGAGCCAGAATTCCTCCCGACTTACAACCAGAATCACCCCAGGAGTTGGAAACCAGAAGCAGGATTTTTACTGCTGGCATTCCAAATATATAGTTTGCTCTAACCTAGACCCCTAAACCCTGAAACCTAAACCCCTATACCCTAAACCCCTGAACCCTCTGAAGCATGAGGACCATGAGCTTCCAGTTCTATGGCAGATACCCAGACCCTAAACCCCTCAACCCCAAAATCCCAACACCCTAAACCTTCACATCTAACCCAACACCTTTCGCCCGAAACCCTAAAACCAACACCCAAAACCCTCAACCCCAACACCCTCAACCCCAGCACCCAAAACCCCAACACCCAAAAAACTCTAAACCCTAAACAGATCCCTGATAGGAGCCCGTATAGTTCCTTTAAAGGAACCCCTAAACCCTAAAACCTTAAAGCCCTCTACCCGAATGTCGCCAGGGATCTGGAGCGAGCCTTGGCGACTAGTCGCGGGCACGGGTCGAAGCCCTCGCAGTCGTAACCCAGGTCTCCAAAGGCAGCCAAGTCCCGTCCGATACCGCAGCCTTTAGGGTTTAGGGGTTTAGGGTTCAGGGTTTTTGGAGTTCCTTCTGCTAGGGTTCTAGGGTTCCTTTAAGGGCTGGATTGAAAGTTCCTAGCAGCCTTGAGAAAGGAGAGCGGCCCGTTTTGGGGCCTTAAGAGCTCTTTAAGGGGGTTCCTTTACGGGCTCTTTAAAGGGTTCCTTTGAGGAGAGCTTTCAGGTTCGTCGGAAGGGCTTATCAGGGCTTCTAGAAGGATCTTGCTTAGGGTTCGGGGTAGAGGGCGTAGGGTGTAGGGATCAGGGTTGAAAGCTTGTTTGCAGTGCAGGATTGAATTGAAGGGCCCCAGAGGTTCATGCGGACGTCTGACGAACAGGAGCCCGAAATCAATGACAGACCATGTCTCAACAGGGAAAAATCTAGGGTTTTGGTTTGTGTTTAGGGCTTGGGGTCTAGAGCGCAGGGTCAGTACAGAGTCTTGCTCACAAGTTGCACAAGAGTGGCTGGAGTCATGTCGCAGACAGGCCCCTGACCCTAAATCCCCCAAGATTCGGAGGGTTTACCTTAAACTACGGCCGACAAACGTTGATATCCTACAACCCTGCACCCGTGAAGAACCCCCAGATATCTAGTACGAGCAATATAGAGCCCCTCATCCCCCATAACACCCCCAACACCTAAAGCTGCAAAAGCCCACAAGCTAACAACTTCGACAAAAAAAACGCGTAAAGGTTTAGGGTATTATCGGGTTTAGGGTATTTAGGGTTTAGGTTTTCACTCCGTCAAAATTCCTTTTGGATCCTCAGGCAGGCGGCCACAGTCCAGGATCTTGAGATCGGACTTCCGGCGTCCTCCGCAGCACGGCTTGGCGGCTTGGGGCGTGTTTGGGTCTGAGGGTTTGCTTTATGGGGCCGTTAAAGTTGTGTTTAAGGGAACTGAAGTCTAGGACGATGTAGAGACTGCCCTATCAAGAGCTGTTTCGTGTGATGCTTCTCGCGGGTTTGCCACGCATATGTGTTCACGAACAGCCTGGCTCACTGTTTCATCTGAGCCTTGAGCCGTGGTATCTCGGGGTAGTACCCTAACCCTCAACCCGACACCATGAACCCTAATGCCTAAACCCTAATCCCTAAGCTCTACCCCTTACTCCCTAAAGCTCGGAAGTCGGGAGCAAACTGCTTTGTAGCGACCACGGTTCAAGGATTCCGATACTCCAAGCTTCGCACGGCCCTTCAGGCGCTGGAGGACGGTTGCCCATAATAAGGAATATACCATTATTCCCATAGTTTAGGGTCCTTAATGGTCATGCAGGATTTATATCATCAACCGGAGCACCCTCCAGGGAGGGTCCCGCAGGGGCTAGTTTTAGTTCTAGTCGAGTGCAGTGCGGGCTTAGGTGTCCTCGGCAGCTTCAAAAGCCCTTTTGAAGCATTCATAGAAGGCTGAAAGAACCTACAGCACGAAAAACACTAAACCCGAAGCCGTAAACAGCAAATATGAGCACATACCCCTAAACCCTACACCTGGACCCAAAACCCCTCAGAACCTCGAAACAGGACGTCGCCTGGGAATGCCGTGTGGATGGCTTGCAGGAAAGTCTCCCTGATCCTGTGAGCGATCTTCTCCTGAAAAAAAGACTTGTTTGAAGGGTTTAGGGTTTAGGGCTTCAGGACTTGTGGGGTAGGATCTAGTGTGAGCCTTTTTTTTGAAGTGTTTGAGGTTCGGGGGTTCAGGGTCTAGTGGTCAAGGCGTTTAAGGCTGCGTAAGGGCTTTTCAGAGGGCTTTCTAATTCTAAGGATTCTCTGCAAGGCTTGTAGGGATTCTTTAATAAAGGACTCTGTCAGAGGTTGAGGGTCAGTGTAGGGAGGGTCTGGGGTTAAGGGATAGTTCTGAAAAACCGAGCCTTTCGACTTCAATTGGGCTTTCGGTGGGTCTAGGCGTAGCATTCGGCCTGTATATTCGCGCCCGGGTTCTCCCCATTATTTTGAGCAGCATGTATATGAATACTTGTGAGCGATCGCTGAAAACCACAATAGGAATGACCGGCTGATGATGACCAATTGGGTGTAGGATTTCTTTAGTTTTCGTCATAAGACGGCCCAGGCATTGTCCCCCCTCCACCCCACCCTCAAGTCACGAAATCATCCCGCATTGTCTACTCATTCTCGCAAGGCAACGCCGTAAAGAAATCTGCAAAGCTTCGTGGAGCTTCATAAAAGCCCTTGAGCCAAATAACCTACGCAAAACTTCGAAACCCTGACCAAAACCCGAAATGCTTATGGAACCCATATAGGAGCCCTTTAACGGACACCTACAAAGAAAGCCCCTGAACCCACGTAGGAGTCCCTGAAAGGAAACCTTCAAAGAAAGCCCCTTAACCTGAAGAACTTGAAAGCCCAAAACGAACCCCTTTAAGGAACCCCTTTAAAGGAACCCTTAAAGGAGCCCTTCAAAGGACACCGATATGGGTGGTTGTCAACATTAGGGTCCCTTTTTGGATCCTTATTATAATACGGCACCTAATATTCAGGGTACCCGAAAAGGGACCATAATTTTGACATCTACCCATATATATAAAAGGCCCTGAACCTGAAGAAGTTGGGGGCCGCGGACTCCTCTGCAAGGCTGCAGGACTCGAAATCTGACCACTCCTCGTAATACCTGAGCTTTTTCTTAAAGTTGGGGTTTAGGGTTTTGCGTTTAGGTAATAGATTTAAGGTTGTGGGTTTAGACTTTCTTCTTAAAGTTGGGGTTTAGGCTTTAACGTTTAGGGTATAGTAGGCTTTAGGGTTCAAGCAATACCTGATTTGGGGTTTGGGGGGGTTCGGATTTTACCTGGTGCCCCAATAATCACCCACCGTTTTAAGGTTCGTTACCATGACTTCTTTGTATAGGCCCTTGCAAAAGCAAGTCGTTTGGAATTAAAGAAAGCCCTGAACCCAGAGACTCCAATATCCCTTAATTAAGGAATACTCGTTAAATCATATTAGGGATCCTACTATAATTTAAGGCATATTCCTTAATTAAGGGGTATTAGAATCCCCTAAACCCTAAACCCTATAGATCCCTTTTAAGGATCCCTATATTCCTTAAGGGATATTGGAGTCTCCGGGAACCCTAATCCCTTTCAGCGCGAAGCCCTACAGGCTTGGGTGTTAAAGCTTTGTCAGTTCAGGGGCTCCTTTCAGGTTTGCTGGGTTCTTAAGGGCTCGTCTCAGAGATCCTCTTAGGGTTCCGTGAAAGCTCGAGAGGCTTGATGGGCTTCCTAGGGTCCTAGAGTTTGGGGTTTAGAGTTGAGGGTTTACGCATTAAGGCTTTTGTGTTGAGTCAGTTTTCGAGGTGTCGGTTGCTCTTTGGCTTAGGTTTCGGGTTGGGCGTGCTTCTTAATGCTTACGTTTTGGAATAAGAACCCTAAACTCACCCCCGGTCTTGTACCCTTGCGACTTCTACTGCTGAAAAGCACGATTCCAGCTACTAGAGGGCGGGTAGTCCTTCAGAGCATGGATGGTTTTGTAGACTTCACGGGAGTCACGCTCTGAATCCTGCATTCTTTGGGGTGTACCGGTTCAGTGCTTCAGGGAGTGCTTGTGATGTCTCGCGTTTCCGGTTTTGCCTGGCTTCAATGTTTAAGGTTTTGGGCGTGCTGCTGCTTTACGGCCGACATCTCACTTGCACCACGAGCAAGAATCGGATCCACGCAGCTGCTCCGGAAGAGATGCCCTTGGCAGCCTTGTTTCAAAACCTCCCACAGAATGCACCCGGTCTCCCAGCAATCCGTTGGAGGAGCAACCCGCACGGCGAGCACACACTCGACTGGTCTGTAAGCCGGGCAAAAGACGGCATTTCCGGAATGCGATGAACCTTCTGCAGATGCGAGGCCAAAGTCTGTCATCATCCCAATGCCTTAGACCTCTCTGACACTCTCGACTCCAGACCTAACTCATCATATTTCGATCTCCTAGAGTCCTAGAATCCCCTCGATCCAGACACAAACCTACATGCAGAATCCAACAAGACAGACAGACGATCGGACGGACAGACAGACGGACGGACAGGCAGCCGAACGGACGGGCCGACGGACAGATAAACATATAGACATACGGACGCGCATACGCATATACAGACAGCCCGCCAGGCAGGCAGGGAGAGAGGCATACTTGCGACATAATATGTATAGTCACACGCACGCACCCCACATGAACCTATAACGGCGCTAAAGAGGTCTCCTTTGACTGACATCCTCAGAAGCACTGCGCAATCAGGGAAGGTCCTCGATCGAACAGTTTAGTACCGATAACCAAAAGACTGAAAGCTCCTTCAGACTCCCAAGGTGTAAGTTTAGGTAGCTGTCAAAATTAAGGTCCCTTTCTGGGTACCCTAAATGATAGGTGCCGCATTATATTAGGGACCCCAAAAAGGGACCATAATTTTGACAACCACCCTCATATAAAACCCTACAAACCCCTGTTATGCAAGCCCCTTGGCAAAGTACTATGAATTGAAGCCCTCGCTGCTGGTTGGTCTTTGCGACTGCTGATGCCGATGAAACCTGGATGCGTCAAATTTAAGTTTCCAAGCGCTGCGAAGGGTTCTTTCTGGTTCCCCGTTGTTACGACGCCGGGTGCATAAGGGCCAAAAGGTTCCAGGAGGTATTTACGGTTTCTACAGCGGATCCGTAAAGGTTTGGCAAACCAGGAATTCGGGTGCTTTAGGGCTTGCAGTGTTTAGGGGGGGCTTGAAGGCTCATTTTGGCACATGCAGGTTATCAAAAGTTCGTGTATTTCATTACGGGTAAGGTACTTACAGGTCGTTCACATTACTCATCATACTATTGAAGTCTTATCTTTGGACCTCTGCTTGTCTGAGACTTCGTTATAGGGTGCTTAGAAGCCTTAAATACACCCCAAGTTTGAAAACACTCCGTGGGTTTGGGGCTGATCTAGCTGCATGAACAATTAGCACACACACTATTCTGCCATCGTATGAAAGGTGACATTATCGTTAGAAGTCTAGCGACCCAATACTTGGAGGGTCGGAAAACGTAGTAAGTAGGTAGTAAGTAGACTTATAAGTACCCTAAAAGGGACCCTAATTGAGGGTATGGTACTTATAAGTCCCTTCTCTAACCAGCTTCTAAGTCCCCCGGCCCTCCAAGTATTATCTTGTTTCCTAGGCTATCAGTGCAGAAGGTTGGCTTTAGTACGGCTCTTGCAGGTTTCTAGGGTTCTGGAAGGCTCTCTGAGGAAGTCAACTTAAGGCAAAGTTTAAGGCTTAGTATATAGGGTGACGGTTAAGGGTTTAGGGTATAGGGTTTAGGGTTTAGGGTTAGGGTTTAGGGTTTAGGGTTTAGGGTTAGGGTTTAGGGTTTAGGGTTTAGGGTTGAGTACAATGAACATAAGGAGCCCCGGGGAGGAATGTTACTAATTTCTCATGGTTGAAGCTTCCAACTTACATTGGGCCTGGGGTTGAAGGTTGCTTCATATGCCTATGGCTCAAAGCCCTACCTTTTACGGAATTCTATATAGAAGCCATAAGGAAAGAACCCCAGAAGAGGTCGGCCTTTTTCGGCATAATCCCTGGATCTTAAACCCCTAAACCTCTAAACCATGTGGGGACTATCACAAAACGCCTTCAACTCGAGCGCAACCCCATGGAAGCTGCATACGAAGGCTCCGGCCGGTAATCACCCAAAAAAACGGCTCAAACAACACCACTTTGCGCATTACATATTGTATAATTACTATCTAGTCCTTATATATACATATATGTAACTATATGTCATATCTTAACTACCTATTATCCATTTATACTTAAGACAACCAGATAGTATTCTATGGATATAAGAACTCAATTGAATCAATTTCTTGATCAAGCGATTCCTGAAATATGTCCTGAATCGCTCGGAAACTCACCAGCCCGTCCCGCCTGTATACCAAAGCGTGGCTTTTGTACTGCGGTGGGAAGTTGCGCGGCCGGGCCATGTATCCTGCTGGGTCAGGGCTTAATAGGGTTTTGCGTCACAGTCCAAGCTTCGGTTTGGAATGTATTGGCTGGTTCTGGTCACTTGGGAGTTTTGCTTGGGTCAGCCGCATAGGCCCTACGGCGCTTGAAATTAAGAGTGTCCTGCTGTAGCCGGCGCTGTAGCCGCCAATATGGGTCGGAGCCGCATAGGTCCAGCACGGCGCGGCCGTGGTCGCCATGGCTTCAGCTTTCAGGTCTTAGGGCTTTGGGCTTTTGGGTTAAGGGGTGCAGGGGCTTCGGATTTTCCAGGTTCGAGTAGAGTAGGGTTGGGTTTAGGGATTAGGGCTTAGGGTTTAGTGTTTAGGGCTCAGGGTTTAGGGTTATGGGGTTTTGGGGGGTTCGGGTTTCAGTTTTACTTCCTGTCTTGGTGATCAGCTTGGACATAATGGCCTCCGCAGGTGAACGGTGCCACTAAGACTCGCAGTTGGGGTTTTGGGTTCAGGATCCCGGTTCTTGGGGTTTGGGGTTTAAGGATCCCGGTTTTCCATGCTCATCATTACGTAGGCTACACACTAATCCCTGACTGAGATCCTAGACCCCAAGCCCCAATGTCGCCAAATTTCAGATGCCATGAGGGCTATACTGGTGGACCTGGAACACTAAACTAAAAGGGTTTAGGGTTTAGGGCTTGATATGGGCACGAACCCGAAAGCATCCCGACACTGCTTCTAAATCCTTAGGCGTGCCTAACACCAAACGCTCAATGCCAAATCCCACCCTCCATGGGCCAATCCTCGGCGCTGAATCTTCAGCCCATAACCTTGCCGGAAAATTGGGAAGAGGATTACTACTTGCTCTCCTCCACAGCCTCTACAGCCCAGTTAAACTTATAGACAACCCCTGTAAACTATAAAGCCTTCCTAAACTGCTACAAACCCGCACAAAAACCTACAAGCCTTGAAAACCCTTTTACGCCCCTACAAGCACTTCATCGAACTCTAATATTAACCAATCCTATCTGAAACCCGAAACCCCAATTCCTGAAACCCTAAAACTATAAACACCACCCGTTCAAAAGCCGTTCGATGACTTTAAACGGCTCCCTACCCTCTAAGGAACCTTCTAAGCTTCCCCTTAAGAGCAAGCCTACCCTGGGGCTCCTTAGTAGTTCCTTTTTGGGATTACCTTATAGGATTCTCTATATGAGCCCGAAAAAGGAACTACTAAGGAGCCCTAGGGTAAAGCCTAAACCCCCGAGACGAACTCCTAAACACTAAACCTTGGGTGCGGCCCCCACTCAGTAATAGTTGAATATTATTCATACTATGGCTATATTAGGACCTTAATAGTAGCCCTATTACCCTAAACCCTAAACCCTAAACCCTAAACCCTAAACTAAACCCAAATTGAACCCTCCACCCTCAACCCTTAAAGGTTCCCAAACCCTTCGAAACCTTAAAGGTTCCTAAAGCCTTAAAGGTTCCTAAAGCCTTAGAGGTTCCTAAACCCTTAAAGGTTCCTAAACCCCTAAACCCCTAAACCCAAAACCCCAAAACCCTAAACCCCGAAACCCTAAACCCCTAAGCCCTAAACCCAGATCCCTTACAGGAACCCCTATAGATCCCTTAAAGGACCAGGAACCCTTATAGATCCCTTAAAGGTTCCTTTTAAAGGACTCCCTTAAAGAACCCTTATAGATCCCCTTAAAGGTTCCCTTTAAAGGAACGCCCTTAAAAAGGCCCCGCTGTTTTCTCTCCGCGATGTCGCGCGCCCGTTCTCCGAGCTGTGAGGCGGCCTTTCAAAGAACCAAAGCGGCTAAAAAAGGGCTCTTGGGGCTCCTAGGGCTTAGGGGTTTAGGCCGGGGCCTTTAAGGGGTTCCTTTAAGGGATCTGGGTTTTAGGGTTTTAGGGTTTAGGGTTTTAGGGTTAGAACCAAAGCGGCTTATAGGGCTCCTAGGGTTAGGGTTCAGGGTAACTAGGGCTCCTTAGAGGGATCCTTAAAGGGATCTAGAGGGTTCCTTAATGGGATCTATAGGGTTTAGGGTTTAGGGTCTACTTAGAGGATCATGGGACTTAGTAACTAGGGTTATAACTAAGGTAACTACACTTATAATTGCTTATAGCCCCACTTAGGATACTTATAACCTTACTTACTAAGTCCCATGATCCTCCAAGTGGGTTAGGGTTCAGGGTTTATGGGTTTAGGGTTTAGGGTTATAGGGTTTAGGGTTAGGGTTCAGGGTTTAGGATTTAGGGTTCCTTGGATCGGTAATAGCAGTTATCAAAATCATATAGTTCCACTCATACTAGTAATACACATTATAAGGTCTGGGAGTTAAGGTTTGGGGGTTTAAGGTCTAGGTTTGGGGGTTAGGATTTTTAAGAGTAACAAGAATAATCCTAAAAAATGTTGATAATACGAATAAGCATTAGGGTAATCATAAACCGTAATAGCAATAATGAAATCAGGACTTCCAATGTTTAGGATTTAGGGTTTAGGGTCTGGGATTGCGGATTAAACTAAAGGGGGTTTTAAGGTCTTGAGATTTTGGGCTCAGGGTTTTGGGCGTTAGGGTTGTAGATGGTTAAGTATAGCTTTGGTTTCTGAGGGTTCTATGAAGGGTCTGGGGTCGGGACTAGGTTTGTGGTTTGTCGGGAGTAGGGGTTTAGGTTTTAGGGGTTATCGGGTTCAGGAATTTCAAGTTTTTGGGTTTCGGGTTGGAGTGTTTAGGAATTCGAACCCCCAGTGTTCAGGGTTTGTAGGGGTTTCGGTTGTTGTTGCTTCTGTTTTCGTGGTGGCGGCTTGGGATTGGGGGTTTGGGGCTGGAAGGTTAGAGGGTTTAGGGCCTAGGGATGGCCAGGGAGCCTCAAGAAGGATTTCCTTAAAAGCAGGGACTATACGGGTATAGTACGATAGTATTCCCAAGTATTGCGATCCCTGCGTTCTGGTGGGATCTGCGATCTGCGGCAAGTTTGGACCGTCTAGAACAAGCAATCCAGTGCAGTCTCCAAAACCCTTAGGTTAAGGATAATCATAGAATACAGAGCCCTATAAGCCCTAAACTCTAAAGCCTAAACCTAAAGCCTAAGGGCCTAAACCATTTGTGGAACATTCGCAACTACCGGGGTCTGGGAACCGCCTGGGAGCCTCTGCACTTCCAAAACGTACTCAAAGGCGCTTCCTTAGTCTCGTTCTGATCCCTACTGGGAAGTACGGAACTCTCTGTCTCTGGCCTAAGCCCAAAGAACCAAAGAGGCCGAAACCCTAAAACTCTAAATGCCCAAAACCCTAAACACAAGAACCCAAAACCCAGAACCCTTGCAGCGCGCCGCGGCGTAGACCGCGCGAGTGCTGCGCCAAAGCTCGGCACGGAATTTCCTGCAATCCGGGTGCCATATAGCTGCTAGAGGGCTTCTATGACGTTGTACATCTAAACGGGTTTCCTGAAGGATTCCTGTGGAAGCTCCTAGAATTTTTTTTTCTTTTCAGGGTTCCCGTAAGGGTGGGGTCGAGTTTAGGGTACGCTTTAAGGTTCACCTCCAACCGGGGCTAAGGCTTAGGGCTTAGAGTGGCAACTCAACGATGACATAGGCAGAGGCATACATAAAACCTAAACATGAGAAAGGCTTCGGAGACCGTCAAAGTATGTCAGAAGCACGGGGTTTAGATTGTATAGGGTACCTCATTTAAGGGTCCTTATAATGAGGATCCTACTATTTAGGGTACTAAATACCTCATTCAAGGGTCCTCATAATAAGGATCCTACTATTTAGGGTACTAAATTCGGGTCCCCTATTTTCGGAAACTCCTAAATCTAAAACCCTAAACCCTTATAGTACCCTACAGATGCCTTATATGGGCCCCGCAAAGGAGCCCAGAAGTACAGGGTTTAGATTCTATAGGGTTTAGGGTAGACTGAAGTCCGAATTTGGGAGCCCGCCAACCCGGGACCAGCAACCCTAAACTCCGCTCCAACGGGTTTAGGGTTTACGGTGAAAGGTTTATAGGGTTTAGGGTGTAGGGCTTATAGGGTTCAGGGTGTAGGGTTTCTAAAGTTTAAGGTTTAGGGTGTAGTATTTAGGGTTTAAGGTTTAGGGTTAATTCCCAAATCACTTACAGAAAACCTCAAAACCGAGGCGTTCAGCCCTAGCCCTCCAAGCCCTCCTAACCCCAAAGGCGAACCTCATCTGCTGCGTCACCTGAAGCCTCGGCTGCTTGGGTAATTCAAAGCTAGCTTTTCTGACTATCTTAGGAAATAATATAAATATTAACTATTAGCTAGTAATATTCAACTATAGAGTCTGTAAATAATTGGTCTATCCGGAGCTTCTGGGTAGTTTACTCGAAAGATCTACGGCTAAGGGCTGCGAAAATGAGCACCCAGAAACTGCAATTGTCATCACATCCCGCATGCCGACCGCCCATACAGCCAAAATCGGCGGCGCGGGGTTACACGGACATGATTTGGTATCTTGTCTCGTCTATCCGGCCCTTCATGTCCTTAATCTCGACCCCTGCCGCAGAGGTTTAAAAATTCTAAACCGCCCTACAGTCTACCCTAGGGCTCCTCAGTAGTTCCCTTTTGGGGCTCATATATAGAATCCTATAAGGTAATCCCAAAAAGGAACTACTAAGGAGCCCCAGGGTAAACCACTAAGCAACTTCCAAGGAACAAATCCGTGGTCTCCAGTTGGGCCACTAACTCTGGGATCGACGTGAACTCCTCCGCATTTGCCGGGATCATGCAAGGGTTGTGGGTATAGGGTTTAGGGTTGTGGGTATAGGGTTTAGGGTGTAGGTATCAAGTTTTCGTAAGGATTGTTACGATGCCAAAGAGCTATGTTTGAAGCTTTTTGTGATTTGGTGGGGGTGTGTTTGTCTGCTAGCTTTAGAATGTTGGGCCTGGGTTTAGGTATCAAGCTAAAGGTTTGGTTCTGGGGTTTGGCAGCAGGACTTTGCGCTTCAGGGGTTTAAGGTTCAACACCGAAGCTTTGTGGGTTTAAGGTCGGGTGTCTAGGATTCATAAGCTGTGGTGTGACATTGGCATGAGGAGCTGCAATCCTTCATACAAGTGGGGCACGCTGTGCCTGGGAGGAAGTCCACAGGCTCTCCTGTCGCCACACCTCTGCTCTTCAGGGGTCCATGATTCATAACAACCATGATCCTCGCCAGGTGGAGGAGCCGCTGATAGGCCCTGGCAACACTGTCGAGCCAGATTCAACCATGCTGACTTCGATCG